TCTGCTGCTTGCTGCTGCTGCCGCTGCTGCCCTCGGGATGCAGGCGCGGCTCGGCTGCGGCAGCGCCCCCGGCCGGCGCCTGGCTCATGGCCGCTGCTGGCTGGCGTCCATCACATCAGCCGGGGCATCCTCCGCCCTAGGGGACACAAGGGCGCCCGCGTGCCAGCGACGTGCGGGGGAGGTGGGGGAGCAGCCCCGGCAGCAACCAGGCTGCCCCCACACATGCCCCTCGGAGGGATCCTGGCGTCCCGGATCGCTTTGCTGCCAGCCCTTTCCCCCTGGGGCTTGCACCTAAACGGCCACATCAAGGCTCATCGCCAGGCACGGGAATTGGGAGTCACTGCCGAGTTCAGCTGGGAGGTATGGGGTGGGGGACGGGGGGTGCTGAGATCTGCCCTAGGGGCTCGCTTTCCGCCTGCCTCCTGATCTCTTCCTCCCACGCCCCCAGACCACCCCAGCGCTCTTCCCTGGGGATCCCCAAGCGCCGGGGTCTCCTTTTCCAGACCAAAGGACTCAGCTAGATCTGGGAAAGGGCAGGACAAGGGATGCTCCCGCAGGAAGGGCCTCTCCGGGCAGAGCCAGGGCCCCTGACTACCAGCCCCGCCCTAGACTGCTGCTGCTGAAGTCACCACGTCCATTTCGGACTCGGGATGTGCTAGGAGCTTGCTGGCTGTGCCCTGAGTCCTTTGCACGTTTAGGTGAAAGCTTGCTTGTTTTTTTCCTTTTCCCTCGGATGAATCTGAGCATTTCCCAATGACGCCTATTCTCTCAGGCCGGTTTTCCCCAACTGGTGTGTTTTTAAGTAGAGGAGAAAGAAAGTCACAGAGCAGTAGGGCTGGAAAGGCCTTCCAGAGGTCACGTCCAACCTCCTGGGATCAGCCCAAGCCAAACCATCCCATACAACGCATTAGCTCTTCATAAAACTACCCTCAAGCCTGATACAACACAAGACCTAAAGCCCTCACCTCCCAAATGTAACGCAGGGGGACCAGGGCAGCCAATGCCATAGAGAAACGGGGCTGGAAGGGACCCCCAGAGATCATCTGGTACAAACCCCCTTCCTGAGGCAGGGTCAGCCCAAGGCCACCCATCTCATACAATCCATCATCTCTAAACTCTACATAAGACTATCCTCCTCAGCCCTGACACAACACAGACCTAAACAGGGAACAACCTCTCTTTAAGCAGAGGTTCTGCCTGTTCTGTCTGTTACTGTGGTTACCAAATCCTGCTCAGCTGGCAACTTTTCTTCCCACATAAGCAAAGCGATAGTTTCCATGGTCACAGCCGCATATAGCACTGTGCTTGTTCCCGCAGTGTTACAAAGACGTGTCTCAAGACAGGCTGAAAATGCTGGCTGCGATTCCCAGGATGGACCTTTACAGCCTTTGTCCAACTTCTACCCACAGGAGGAATGAATGCAAGGAAAGCAACAAAAAAAAAGCCTCCGGGCTCCCAGGACATTTCGACGGCTCTCAAATCAGCTGCAGTCTGCAGAGCACGGCGCGGGAAAGGCGGAGAAGGGAATTGGGGAAGGTCAGCCTAGGTAGCGAGCTGGGCTGTGACAATGAATTAACTCCGGGAACATGCTGGACTATGACACGCAGAGTTTGCGCTGTGCTCAAGTGCCAAGGATGTGGTCATTCCTGCCATATGCACTGTCATCGGTTGGATATTATGGTCAGAGGAGCACGATTTGGGCAAAAAGTTCCAGTCCAATGAAGTGCCTAGAGGAGCGGGGAGGGGGGAGAAGATCTGGTACCATTTAACCTTAAAGGTAAAAGGCTGCAATTGAGAGGGGAACAGTGGAAAAAACCCTGCCCCTACCCAGTTCACTCTGCCTTTCAGCATCCACTCTGCTGCTGTGTGACCCAAGAGACTGGGCAAGATGGACCTACGGTCTGACCCAGCAAGTGGCAATTCTTATGTTCGTATTACCACCCCTTGCTTCACAAAAAGAGAAGCAAAATCAATCGGCTGAAACAGGTTTCTCCGCATCTATTACAGCTCCCTCATAGCTAGAGTGCCTGAGGCTGCTATTGTTCAGCATCCTCTTATAGAAAGAAGCCTCATTCTTGCAAAGAAAGTAGAGAGAGCGAGCAAAATAATAATAATAATAATAAGTTTGGAACCAACTTGATTTCTGTAGCTTGTGAATTACTCCGACTTTTACTCAGAGCTGAAAATAAAACCAAGTACACCTAAGATTTTCTCTCAGCCCCTCCCCTATCCTGCGCCCAACTTGCTGTGCCTGCTTCCTGTATTCAGAGCCCTGATGAAGCATGTCTTACACTGGAAAGCTTGCCTAACTTTCTCCCAACTACACAGTTGGTCCAATAAAAGACATCACCCGAGAAAATCCTTGCCACCAACACATCTGTAACCCTGCACACTACCTGGATTTCCTCGGGATGTTTCACTGCAGCAAAGAGCAGAGATTTCTCAGGAGGGTAACCTGGATCCCTCCTGTCCCAAACTCCAGCCCCGGCTGGTGCCTCCCCCGTGGCAAGAGCTCTTGCAGTCCTACAATGGACACGCGTCTCAGTCCCAGTCCGACTCCTGCAGCTGCACAAACTCGGCAACAGAAGCAGATCTCCAGAGGCAGGAATCACGTGGCTCAGAGAGGTGGCAGGACGCTAAGTCCTTGCAGGTTTTCCGGTTGGAAACAGCTGCCAAGGAGGGGGATGCGCCAGCAACAAAAGAGAGACGTGCACTGGTTCCACCTGCCACGCGGAGCTGGGATCAACCAGGGATCCAGCCAAGGATCTCTGCTGAACTGAGTGGATCCCACGGCAGAACTCAGCCCTCTCTCCCCCTGGCAGGTTTCAATCTGCTGCCCATTGCAAGGGTGCGTGACAGCTGCGGCTTTGAGCAAGCAGAGGGATGGGAGCATTTCCGCAGGGTTACCCTAGACTGATTGGATCTGAATCCTGTTCAGGGCTCCCTGTCTCTCTCTTTCTCTCTCTCTCTCTTTAAACAACAAAGGCTTTAAGACAAAGCATTTGCGTTACTCACCAACTCTGTCTGCTGCTGGGCTGGTCAAATTCATGCACACACGAGATACCAAGCAGTGCCAGAGCCTCTCAGGGAAATGCAGCAATATTCATGAGCTGACCTCACTGGGCCTGGGAGAAGGAGGTGGGGGAGGGAGACAAGCAGCCAAGGGAAGAGAAGAGAAGAAATTAAACGACCCCCCCTGAAACAAGAAAGAAAGAAAGAAACCACGCCCAGGCCTTGAGGATCAATGCTAGTTCCTGTTTTCTGCACGTGGTAGAATTGGATTAAGGCACAAATGGAAGAAGGGCATTACGTGGCCAGAGAGAGGGACAAAATTCATTGCATGGAAACAATCGATTCTGATCAATTATTTATTCTGCTCTTTCAGGGAGCCTGCTTGGAAAAGACAGCCATACCAGACGCCTTCTGCCACAGCAGCATGACGACAGCTGGATTTTCCTTTGTTCAGATGTATCCTTTATCTGCACTGGAAGTGCAGCAAATCCCTATTGCTCCTAACTGACAAAGTCCCAGTACCCTGAGTTAAGGTAGAGGCGATGCCAAATGGTCCCTTTCTGTGAAGGGGAATTTCTCTTTTTCTTTCTTTCTTTCTTTCCTCCTGTGATATTTTCCTGACAATGTCCTGACTTACTGGGTTAAAAATAGAGATGATGCCATTCTAATCTATTAAGGCTGATTCAATTACTTATTTCTTTATGTGAGCATAGAGTGCATATGTCTGTGCTGAGCATTTATTATGGGCTTTCTTACTTCATGTAGGACTATCCCTCAAGTATATAAGATAAAAATAACAGAATGGATGCCCTCTTGCCCTCCACTTCATGTATGGAAGAGAATGGCTTGATTAGTTCAAAGACTAATTACACGTGTGAAGGATTTGTCCAGGAAAAGCAACATGGAAGAAATAAGTTTTATCCTTTCGTTGTGGAAGTGCTGAGTTTTGTGGTCATTCTGATATCTTATGTGAATAACTTCTGTAGTCTTTGTCCAGCTCCTACTAAAATGCTGATTCCCACACTCCTATGGTCTCTGTTCTAGTGGAGCATAACTGTAATCTCTCAAGTAACCAGAGGCAGAGCTATGTAGGCGGGTGAATATCAAAACAGATACCTGGAACTGAACTTTATATTAATTGGGTAGTCAGGGCAGAATGAAAAGCATTGGGCTGATGTGCAACAACCTTTTTTTGGTCCACCTGGAATATTTTTCAATATACCTTGCCGAAATACTTCAACATACCTTGCAGAATTCAAACATAAAGGGTCAGAAGTACATGGATTACTGTGTCCACTATAAGAAGTACGATATTCGGCAAGTTTGGGATGGAACAAGGCATTTTTTTGCCATAGCTAATTGGGGATCTGACATTCATGAACCCAAAAAAGTATCCTTGCTCTATGTGTTGTGCATGTGTCGACTTGGCAGAATTCAATTTTCATTTTTTAAAATAATTTCAATGGATAATAGCAATGTTTATTTTTAAGCATTTATTTCGATTTTTATCATTTTAAGTTTTCAGGATTGCATGAAATTAGGGGTGTGGGGGGCAGACAATTCATTAATGGCAGTATGTTGTCGGACTGCTGCCAGCTGTCCCAGCTCTGCTTGCCCATAGCTCTCTTGGCTGCTTTGTCACTTCCTCTTCCTTTGTTCCCTGTCCCCCGAGGCTTTAGGGAATCCAAACTGCAGTCAGCACAGTTCTGGAAAACTGCTCTCCATGTCATCATCACATAGTACATCAGCCATCATTTTTCTGATGTTACCTTTCCATAAATTTTGATTAATAATAATGGAAATACTTTTTCTTTGGTCTGTGAGGGTGAGGTGAAATCAGTGTTTATCAACGCTTACTGTTAAAAATGTAATCCTGTCAAGACTAGGCATGGGTTGGAAGATGATTTAAGGACCTTTCCCTCCACCCATTATAAGCACTTGCAGCATAACAGGGCAGGTTATTTCCAGGAAGTCTGCTGATGATAACAGATTATGCTATAGTGATAACAGCAATACAGTATACTAAAGAGAATAGAATGCCTCTGAGTGCACCTGTTAGTACCCTCACAGTTCTAAGGAGAAATGTTCTGCTAAACTAAAAGGGGTAATTAAGCCTCAGCCTCCTTAGCATCAGTTTGGTATAATGAACTAATGGAGGACTTGTTGCTCCTTTCGGAACAACAGAGAAATATTCCCCATTCTCCTGTTCTCTCCTCCCCCCGCCAGCTCTGTGGAGCAGGGTGGCTCAGGGATATGACTTATGCAAAGAAACCTTTGCTAAAATGAATATCTTTGGAAAGTAAAAATAAGCCCACAGGGGTACTACATGTCCTCCAGAAAACAGAGTTCCATGTGGGCTAGGAATTTTATCAACACGACTAGCAAATTGCCCATCAAGAATGACAGTGGGTGCAGGGAAGGATGAAGCCCCACCACCCACCACCCCACGTTGCCACCGCCTCCCAGGAGTGGGGTGGGGAGGGGAAGCTTGCTCCGCCGTCCCCTCCATCCCCCTCCACCAGCACCCCAAGCTGCTGCCACCTCCAGCACCGCTGGCCTCACCCCCTCCCTGCTGGCCCTGCTCCTTGGAGGTGGTGGAGCACCGCCATTATGGAGCAGGGGAGTGAGGCCAGTGCTACTGGCCTTGCCCTCGGCCAGTCTGCCCCCTCCATCCCCACTGTCATGGCCGTGCTTCATACTCTGATTGGTTGTTTCACTAACCAATCAGAGTGCTCCAAGAGCATTATGGACAGACAGACTAAGCCCTTTATTATATAAGAATACTGACCTGTTCACCTGGAGAACTTTCAGAAAGCAGAACTTTGACCAGTGTTCTGAAGAACAATTGAAATATGAAAAACGCCTTTTGGAATGTATAATATTTCAAGTATTTCATTTGAACCTTTAAATATGCACCTGCCATAAAATTAGTAAGCAATTATACAATATATATAATGAAATAATATCAGGTGTTTGAAACATGTGGAATGAAGACCATGAAATACCTTAGTGGACAGTACTTAAGAATAAATCCAGTGCAATGTACCACCTTCATTCAACCCCTTATATCTGGCCCCTAACACATTTAACAGATTCAACTGGTGAAAACTAGATTGCCTGCCTCAGTGAAAATACAGCTTCATAGACAATGTCACAGAGATACAGCCATTACAGCTGCCTGTAGATGTGCTCGTTCACATTCTAATCAGAATGTGTAAGAGCAGAGTAATCGAGTCTGCTCCATGTCCTAACTAGAATGCTCCAGTGTCTCATCATCACATATATTAACCCCACGTATGTTTCAAGATAGCTGTGAGGGTACTTTATCTAAACCTCGTTGAATAAGCTTTAGATAAAGCATCTTGTGGCCATTTAAAAAATGCACAGGGGCTTAATACATGTGACGGTGAGTCATTTTAATTAGAGAGGCTGCCCGGGAATTACTCTAATTAAAATGGCACTCTCCCAACCATGAACATGTGTATAGACTGTAGCAGAAAGCTCCCTTTATACATTTCCCTTCTGGACATTGATATAACAGAAGCCCCTTCTTGCTTGCACACCCCTCCCCTGCTGCATTTTATGCATTTCTTTTTCCTTCTAAGTATTGGCAGAGACATAGCACACTCATTACATGGGTGTGGCAAGGCTTAGAGCAAGTCAGAAAGCTCGTCTTTTTGTAGGAGAAACCTAGAAACTACATCTACATATCAATTAAGCTCAGTGTCACTAAAGAAAACAAAAGGACTAACATATCCACTTCAAATACTGTAAACATATCCTGTGCTAACCTAACTCACTTACTGTCCCCAGCAGCCTTTGATCCTCACTACCTCACATTGCATTTTTATATATTTCTCACAGTGCATTTTTATATTTCACCTGTCTCATCATTACCATAGAATTTTGTATTTGATATTTTATACTTTTAAACACTTAAGGAACATACTCCCTGGAGAATGAAGTTACACCCTGGACCATTGTTAAAAACTGCATTGAAATTGCAATTGTAAAGTGATAAAATCTGCTATATTGGACTGGTCCCCCCTGAGTGAATGTGAGTGTATGATTATCAATACGTGATTAAATGACAATAGCCTACCATTACAAAACTCCATTACAAAACTCTACTCTACAAGCCATTTTAGGCTAATTAAGCCAAGGAACTGATTCCTGTGACTGAGCACCCACCCTATTGACTATTTCTGCAACCATTAACAATACCATTGTTAAATAATCAAAATCACAAACTGACTCCTGAAACTGCGCTAGCTACTGGCAGGCAAGACCCCTGTAACTAACAGCTGTCATACACTACTCAAGACCCATGTGGGACAACGACCTCTGGATTGGGCAGCCAGAATGATGCTAGGGAATCACACAAGTCTGCCAGAAAGGGATAAAAGGCAGTGAAGTGTGACCCTCAGTGGCGTTCTCTCATCCAGCACCTGACCTACCAAGACAGAAGGACAAGCAGGTGACCCCCTTCTGGAGAAGACATTGCCTTGAAGGAAGCTGACCATCAACAGCAGACTCCAGGGCCTCGGATAGGTAGATATACTGACACCAGTGTTCTCACAATCACTGCAGCAGCTACTATACACTTTACTACATGAGTCTGAGTGACATGGGCTTGAATGAGTGAGAGCATGTGTGTGTATGTGTTAAGGTGGCCAGTACCCCTCATAACTCAAAGATTGCATTTATGATTTTATTGGTAACTTCACATCCTGTACAATAGATTAGAATTCATTATGATCCCTTGAGTTGGTCCTTTGTAGCCAACAAGACAGCCCACAAGCTTCAAAATCACACATCCTTTGGTCCTGCCACAGAAAACAAGGAAAATAATTTTAGCCCATATTTTGAAATATTAAACAGTCATTGGGCGCATCTATATGAGACACTTTACTGTGCAGTAGAGCCAAGTACTCCACAGTAAGCATCCATGTCTACATGTAAAGATGCTTATTGCACAGTAATTGGCTTTAAACGTGAGTAAATTTTCTACCTGAAAATGCAAGTAGCAAATTTACTCATGATTAGTAACAGCGCAACAGGGCATGTGTAGACCCCTGACTGGGAGCAGATGTGCTCTTGGTTAGCCAGGCAGCAGGGGGTGCAAGATTTCTCCCTGCCCCCAGGAACTATTTGCTACCAGGGCAGGCTCTGCCACCAGAGCCGGTGGGGGCAGTGGGGAGGGGGGACAATGTCCCCCTGCCTTAGCAGCAGAGAGCTCCCAACCCCGCATGATTGTAAGAGTGGCATGATCATAAGAGTGGGAGATTCTTATCTGGGAGATAAAGATTTTGCAGCCCAGGTCCCACAGTTGTAGAGTTGCGGGGAGTGGGAGCTCCTTACTGCCACGGCAGAGGGACATTGTCCTCAGTTGGACTCTGGTGGCAGAGCTCAACCCAGCAGCAGGCAGTTCACAGGGGCAGGAAGAAGTATCCCAGCCCCTGCCAGGAGACAGCTCTCTCCTGGCCCCTGGGTGAACATCCAGAACTCCTGGCTGCTGCAGAGACCCATTGTAGGGCCACAGACAGTGGAAGCAGTCTGCTGCTGGGAGCAGCAAATCTTCTCACATGTCTCTGCACATGTAGACATGCACCCAGGAGAGTTTACTCTTGAGTAGTTCACATGAGAGTAAACTGCTCCCGGATTATTTGCATGTGTAGATGCACCCTTATCATCTTTCTTTAGGACTCCATATCCTTGGCCTTGATAAGGTTGACCCTATACCTATGGTCATAACAATGTGTCTTAACAGCTTTTACCTAGTGCAAAGAATATTACTAAGACATTGATAATAGCTAGATGCCTGTCTCCCACTACCTCATTCCATTATCTGAATGGAAATCATATTTAACATCTATTCACTTGATGAGGAAAAAAACATAGTAACTAGCTCAGATGTACACTGGAAACCTCTGCTAGTGTAGTAATGCTGATAAGGGGTGAGATTTTCTGACATTACTAAACCCACATGACCGTGGAGCCAGAGCTGCCTGCAGTGGGCCCAGGACTACATGCTGGCCCTGCTGACCCTGAACACCGGCTTCAAGAGGGGAAGCCACCCACGCTGGGGGGTCAGCAGCCACTGCTGCCCCTGGACGAGCCACCCACCCACCCACCGGGCTTGCTACAGCATGAACACCCACAGGGGAATGGCCATAAACTGGGGTGTTCGCTGCCTGCTCCTGAGCTCTGCCCCCTAGGTTTCCCCACCCCATTGCCACTCATGCTGAGAGGCCACATGCACAATAATAGCACTTCACTTGAAAATAGTTCACGCAAAGAAGTGGGTGTTTTACTGTTGGTGGGTTGTGTGGGTGGTAGAGGGGCTCTGTTGTTGGGGAGAGAGAGGGGGTCTGTTTGATGTGACGAAAATAAAAGCAGTTGTTCTTCTGAGATGGCTGTAGTGAGCATGGTGCTGAGGTTTGGTGGGGGAGGGTGCAGGGTCCATGGGCA